GATCTAATATTCAGCATGTTTAAGTTTGTTCTAATATTGATTTTTATCGTTTAAAAACCTTTTTTACTTTGTGCCTCTCTCTGTCTGGTCACTGTTGTGATCAACAGTGAATGCTGCTGTGCCACAGACGGGGAAATGGAAATACTCAAGTAAAGAATAAGTGCCTCAAAATTCTACTTAAGTACAATACAGCAAATGTACTTAGTAACACTCCACCACTTTATTCTAAAACTGCAGATCGGTTCCAAATATCAGTTATCAGTTTCCTTGATACTGATAATTAATAACTTCTTGGTCGACCCCTAGTTTACAGTAATCGGGGTCCCAGGTTTAGAAAGGGAAGAGAAATATTGGGTGAAAATTCAAATTAACTGCTGATTAAACACCAGAATCCCTCTACTGTATCTAAGCTTAGAAAATGGTTAAAGTCTTTGCAGTGCAGATGGTATCTTTAAACGTTTTTTTTTACCATCATAATTATTTTCAAAAATATATAGGATACTAGGCAATTTCAAGATCATAACCCCAAAAGCTTGAATTGAGACCTCTACGTTTCAGAGCAGCGAAACTCTGTGATGAAGCTAATATTAACATTAGCTTAAGCAGCTATAGCGCAGAGGTGTCAACTGTATAAAGTGCAACTAGATATTTTCATTCAATTGTTCAGCCCTAGTTCCTGATGTTTCCGTACCTTGTGATCTGTCTCGAATCCTTTTGGCTGCTTTATCATCCCCATGTGTTCTCATCATGGTGCTATTGTGTTTACATACAGTAGTGTGGAAGCAGATTAAAAAGAGGCTTAACCTTCACCTCTGCTTTTTTGGCAGCCAGAGGACACACGCCCACTGTCCCATGAGTCCACCCATACACACACACACACATACGCATGACTAATCCACACATACATTCACACACTCAAGCATTTGTTAGCAGACTACACAATAGAAACTGCTTCTTCCGTGGATTTCCTTCCTTTGTTGAATCCAGATTATTTCCGAGTGGCCACACCAACCTTGTGAGCGGAAGTGGAAAAACAGGAGCTCAGCTGGAACTACGGCACCTCGCTGGGGTCAAAAGCCCTTGAGTTTAGGACTTTCTGATCCCGGCATCCCAACCCATCCCACTGCAGGACCCGGGCTAATGAATAGGTTCTGATCCTGTGGTCATGTGGCGACCCACTGTAGAAATAAAAGCTGAGGGAGCCGAAAATGAACAAAGTCGCATAGTTCAGTATTATGATAGGCCTCATCTTGTGTTACATCAGACATTATCAGTTGGTAGACTGGGTGGCATAGATCACCCAGCTAACTCTGCAGCTGGCACAGATGGCATACTGTATACTAAACACACACACACACACACACACACACACACACAGAGGATGATGTGGGGTTAAATATGGAAACTGGGGCAGTGTTTCTGACCAGCATGGCTTTGTGGTTGAGGCAGTAGGCAGCAGTCTTCCTGCGACACACCCTGGTCTCAGTACTGGGGGCTCATTTAGTCTGCTCATACATTGGTACGCCTATGTATAGTTTATTTATATTCCTGCTTCAGGAACCACTTATTGTTACTATATGTAGAGTTTGTAAGCCTGTGTTGTGATTTCCTGATTTATTGGCTGATAAATTGGCTTGATTTCTGCCTGAGGACGGATTAATTTACCAACTGGACGGCTGACTGACCATCCATGTTTCTGACTGACTGGGTGATCGATTGGTGCAGGGTTTACTCCCTTTTAGCCACAGCTGGTCCAGTGTGCAGCTTGTACAGTATGATGTAGAAAGTTGAAGCCACCAGTGCACATCCACTGAGAATGGACTTGGACAAAATTTTCTAAATTAACATTTGCATATTCAGAGATTCTGAAATTTGTAATGAGATAAAAGGAGTAGATAACTTTTTAAGCATTTGAATTTGGAAATTACATTAAAAAACATATCAGAAACACATTATTGTTCCATGCAGACTATTTTTATATGTTGTAATCCATGTCTGGTGTGGATCTGTAATATTTAATGATGGCTCCATTAGTTATTGACTTTTCTTTGACATTTGACATAGAGCAGAAGTAGTTTTTCCTGTTTGTCACTCTTTTAACAGCCTATGAAGAAGGAGAAAGCATTCTACACTTCCCCTTCTGCTTTTATACACTGTCCAGGAAATGCGTTTAATGAAAGTAATAAGGAAATATAAGAACAAGATGGTGTGCTGCATACGGAAATAAAAAGGAGTGAAGTACAACCACCAACTGTCTGTCACCAGATGGATCATAAATGAGCTTCAGCGCTGTCTTCACTCCACTTGTAAAAGAACAATTGTCTGAACAACTCTAAACTATATTGCAAATGCAGCGGCTTTAAGAGGGGTCTTCCCTTCCCCAACAACACTATTGACTAATATATTATTGTATGTTGTAGGCACAATTAGTATTTCCATTAAACTAAGGGTTCCTGCAAAAACCATAAAGGACAGCAACCGACCACAAGAACACAAAGGCCCTTTTAACCACATAATGCAGTGTACACTTTTTGCTCTCTTTGTGGTAATGAGCACATCATCCAGCAGATGGGGCTGTGGAGTTATATTTAAAGTTTGCTTTCTTCTCCTTAAGGAATCTCACTGATCTCAGAATAGAAAGACTTTTGTCCACAAACTTAGAAGCAGTAGCTTTGAAGAATATTTGTGTTAATATGTACTTTGTCATTAAATAGGTCCAGGTTCGTGATATGCTGTGTTGTTGGCTGCTGTTAAGGAAATAAGGGTGTTGATGTAACGTGAGCATTGTTGGCACAGCAGCCAGGTAGAGAGGAAACCATAATAACTCAAAGCTCTCAGGATTGATCCGCTTTGCAGCAAATGTGCTCTCTTGCACCGTCCTTGAGCATAGACCTTGAAGCCTGTAACCTGCAGTTTGAACAATGTAAGAACAGGATGTTGAACAGAAAGGGGAGACGTGTTTTTGTACAGGGCAAGAGAGGTAAAGTGCACTGTAGACGATGACGGGAGGATTGTTAAGATGGAGACGGGACAGATAAACACAGCGAGTGTGTGAGCAGCAGAGGAAGGCTGGCTGCTGCCGGCACCAAAGAAGATAATCTGGCATTATAGTTGGAAGATGACACAACATGACTCTGCAAATTCCCCTGGTGGCCATTGGTCAGCTGAACTCCCAGACGAGCCGATGACTGCTTGGATCTGTGTGTCTGTGTGTGTGTGAGAGTGTGTGTCTGAGTCCATGTTTTGGTACAGATTGTGCTCTTGTGTTGTACCAAGTCATGCACTTCAGATGAAACTGCCTCCTTGTGGTAGAAGGTGGTATTAGATTATTATTAGATTAGGTTGAACTGATAAAGAAACTCTCTTTTATGCCCACCAGAGAGGTCAGGCTCAGGCCTTGCAGCTGGTAGACATTCAGTGTGGTCGCTCGGGGGCACTTCAGCAGAATGAATGCCTGCCATCACCGGGGTTTGGATCCAGGTCCTGTGGTCCTGGTACTGCTTCCAGTGACTGGTTTGATGCCACAAACCTGGGGCCCAATTCAGTTCACATCAGATTTTCCCCTGATCACCAAAAGTAAATAGCTTGTGATGGGTCGGCTGTGGCTCAGGTGGTGATCTCAGGGTTGGTGGTTGGATCTCCTCCTGTGTGCATGTTGAAGTGTCCTTGGGCATTAGCTGAACCCCAGGTTGCTCCCAGCCACTGGGTATGCACAACGCAGTGAATTCCTGCTGGACTCAAGTTGGTTCAAATGGGACGAGATGCGTCAGGAAAAGCATCTGGTGTTAAAAGCCTATGACCAATCACGTATGTGGATCATCAGATCTCCATGCTGGTTGGGCGGGGCCAGTTCTGTGTCAGATTTAAGACTTTGTGGGAACTTTGATGCAATAGGCTGTCATTTCTGTTGGGTTCTCACTACTTCTCTCCATTTCCATCTGTCTCAATTTCTTCCTCCTTCCCTCAGCTTTACCTTCCACTTCTTTCATCTTTATCTTTCCATTTCAGCTCCAGTTTGGGCCTCCTTGTCTCTGTTATCAGTACAGGCAAACACTGCAGCTCGCAATGTTAACTTGAAAGGAATTATTAAATAGCTTTGTTTTTTAAATGGCAGCCATTAATCAACAAGGATGAGGTTAAAACTGGGATATATTTGCTTAAAAAATCTTTTAGACACATTCTGTATTACCGTTGTTTTGGTAGAACGTTTATGACTGTAGTTCAGCATATTGTTACTAGGACTCGTTTTTAAGGATTCCACATCATTTTAAAGTGGACATATCTCGGGACTATATAACTGTAAATGAAGTTGATTTTAGAAACATAACTGAATAAATAATTATAAATTGATGTTTTCTAATCTTTTACATTCATGTTTATCATGTTATTGGTTACAATTTTTAACTATTTATATATTTTTGTGTTGGAAAAATATCATACAGAATCATTTGATCCTCTGTCTTTTAAGCATATAATATCAAGAGTTATAGAGTTATAGTTATATAGAGTGGTTATATAGAATTAAAGTTGATACTATGTGCAGTGACTGTTGAATGGAGGTCTGATTATTAAGCTGTTGAACTGCCTGCTTTCTTCACTTTATCTAAAAAATAAGGGTGCATAGCTGAACTGTAAACTGTGGCTCGTAAAGTGACTGGAAGAAACCAGCAACTGTATCTACAACAGTGGCATGGAAGTGATAATGAGCCTTTGAGAATAAGACTTTGTTTCATTTCTTCTTCTTTCATTCTTCAGTATGTGGACTGAAACATGCACACAAACACACAAGCACATGCTAAGAATCCCGAAAGATCCTGAAAGTATTTTTCAAGGGAAATGGGGCCTGCTGTAGGTGAGAATTTCTACACATTCAACCCTAGTTAGGACTAGTCTTTCTTTATATTCTTATCTACTGTGGCAACTTCTTATAGTTCTATTTATAGCTGGACAGCATTATTCAACAGGAGATAACATGTTTACTGTCCTCTGTTTGTGTGCAGCCATGGCGGAGTTAGACCTGAGTCTGAGTGACGCGCTGACGGACAGCGTTCCCCAGCCGGGCCCGGAGAGCCTGGTGGAGAGGGACTTTGTGGCTCAGCTGGAGGCAGAGGCCTTCGACGATCAGGTCGGAGAGACGGTGGGAAAGACAGACTATATCCCCCTGCTGGACAATGATGACACCAGGGCAGGTGAGAATAAATCTGCCGTTTTCTTACCAGTCATATCCTTCTCATCTCAAGGTGAGAACTGGGTGGCAGAGGTGACAGGAAATAATGAGGAAACAATGAAAGGAAGAGGAACAGTGGTAGACAGGTGAGAAACAGAAACGTAGGCAGGAAAAGAAAGATGAGGGAAATTAAGTCAGAAACAGGTCGTGTCACCCAGCATAATGATTTCAATTAATTTATAAATAGAGCAGGAAGCAAAGAGGCTCATTCACCATTTAAATAAAAATCAAAAGACAAGTTTTAAGAAAACATATCTTCACACTCAACTGGTATTGATCCATGCAGACATGGTCGTATTTTACCTTTAAAATTAACAACAAAATAATTGTAACACTTAATATAGTCAAGAGCTCTGTACTTACAGTGCATGTAAAGGTTTATTATTGAATATCCTTGGATTACTCGTGTTCTGGTGAAAGATTAACTTCACTTAATCAGGATATCCTGTGTAGGCATGGGAAAATATGAACATTTTAATGTCATGATTATCCTAACAAAAATAGTTGTGATTCATATTATCCCAATAATTACCGAAATATACTTAAAACTCTCAAAATGGCACTAAAACCTACCGGAATCACTTAACTTGCACCTCATGTGCTCATCGTTCCACAGTATTTCCAGTTTTTGTGTGGGATACAACGGTCAACCCAAGCTTTCAGCCATGGTGACAGGTTTAGGATTTTGGAATGACTGGAAAGATACAGGCTCCCCCTTGTGGTAATTCAAAATAAATCAGGAAATGAATGTAGGACTGTATGTTAGCGAGCTGGACAGCTTTTTCTAGTCAAGCCATAGGGAATATTCACGATTAACTATGAACGTGATAATATAGTATATTGTCCCATCCCTAATCCTGTATAACTGAAACCTGAGTTAAAGTGTCCATTCATAATGCTAAGAGCAGCAGAGAGTGTGTTTGACTTACATTTTCCTGAACATACTGTTTTTACTACACCGCTGTATCTGATTCCATCTATCCTGAACGGGATGAGGATCTGTATTACGTAACATGAGCTGCAGCTGCTTCTAAATGACTAATAGTATCAGGCACTGCTGGACCCTGGCTGCCATTTTGGATCTGCTGGGGTGCCATTCAGCTGCAGGGGAGATAGTGGCCTGAAGATAAGTGAGGGTAGCGGTCGCTGCTTTGAATGTCCCAGCTGCCTAGAGCAGTTTTGGAACTTCACAAGGAAGGCAGTTACTGTCCAGATGCCCCGCCTGCTCCAGTGAAGGCGCTCAAGGTTTAGTTCCAAGATCTGTGTGTCCTTGACCACCCTGCCTGCTTAGAAGAGTTCAGGTCATGGGCCTTGGATGCCATTGTGTCATCAGCTGATTATCACATAGACCGTAAGAATAGAGTGAGGAGATAACAAAACTAGTAAAACATGTGTTTGTCATTTTTCATCCTTTCTAAAAAATAAATATAGGTTAGTCTGCTCCTCTGTGAGCATTTCAGATGATCGGGTTTGGAAAGATATTTGTGTTTTACAGACAGGTTTGTGCACTGGTTTGCTGATATATCTGGTTTCCCCCTGTAATTTTAACTTTCATGCACTAATGTAATTTTGGCCTATTGTGGTACACATGGAATTATGATATCAAAGATACTAAATGATTTACCAGCTAAACCCGACCCTCATTATCATCATAAACAGCCACAGAATGCATTGAGTGAGCACAGGCTCACCTCCTAACATTTCCAACAGAAATAGCCTCAAAAAAGAGTCGATATACATCTGTAAGAGAAGCAGAAGAGTTGTAACAGATTCTGGATAGAAATGCAGTGGCGCTCCTCCACTAAAAGCTCAGCAAATACATAAAGTCTGGAAATAGAAGAGGTCGAACACTGTACCAGTGAGTTGTATGAGCACCACTTGTTGCTCAAAAGTAGATAAAATATCTTTTATTAAGCTGCCACAGCAATAAAAAGAGGGAGAGAGGCTCAGAAACAGATAGGTATAGAGGGAGGTGAGTAAGCAGATAGATAAACAGTAGATGGATCAAATAAACAGCTGAGTGAATAACCAGATAACAGGAAGTGACAGTTAACCGAGGCTGACTCAGCTCTTGGGCCTGTTTTGGTTACCCAGACACTTTGGTCAGACAGTCAGACTGTGTGTGGGCACTCGTCAGTGACAGCCGGCTGTAGGACGGGCCGTGGGTGGTGTTGCCAGTGATCAACTGTGGCACGCTGCGTGCATTTGGACAAACGCAGACATGCTGACACACAGAGTGCCAAACCGTGGGGCGAGGCGGTCCGCAAATTATTGTCCTCTGTCAGCAGGAGAGCTAGACGGAGGAAGCACAGTTTTCTTTTTGTGTTTTTTGTTTTTTGTACCAGAGTTATTGGTGTTGAATTGCTGTGATGCACACGTACTGTAATGTGCACTCCTGGGGGCCGACGTGTGTTTGAGTGTCCTGTGCTCGTGTTTCTGATCTGTGGTATTTGTGTGTGGACACAAATGAATCATACTTTGTGTGTGTGTGTGTTCTTGCATGTTGTTTGGTTTTTTTTGCATGCCTACACGTTGATGTGTTAATGTGTGTGTACTGTACATATGTGCACACATGTACTGACAGCAGAAAGTTCTTGCTTTTGTGGCTTCATGTATGCTTGTATTTTTGTTAGTCTGCATGTGTGTGTGAAAGAGAGAAACAAAAACACACATACTAGCGTGTTAACCAGCTATCTTTAGGTATAACTCAAAGCTGGCACATTTTAAACCTGGTTAGATTCCCATGCTATCATATGCTGCACAGCTAACCTGCTCCAGAGCAAAAAAATCAATCATATTCCCACAGGATCCCAACATGGTAAATGGTAAATGGACTGTACTTGATATAATAAGCACCCTTTCTAGTCTTCGACCAACTCAAAGCTTTACACTAAACGTGCCACGATTCCCTTTCACACCACATTCATCAGTGGATGCAACGTTCATCGAACAGAAACGTAAACTACATCATACAGCATTCACACACCCGAATGCTATGCAATCAGGGAAGCCATGGGGTTCAGTATCTTGCTCAGGACTTTACTTCGACACAGTTGCAGGAGGCGTGATCGAACCAACAACCTCTACCTGATTGGGGACGGACCCGCTCTGGCCTCTGAGCCCACAGACCGCCCTGGGACTAAAACAATGGGCAACAAATCATGTACATGTCCTACAAAAACAACTGAAAACCACCTATCTATAACCTGACTAAGATTTCAAGCTCTAGATTGGCCTTGGCGAGATCATTGCTCGCACAGAAAACTGCAATAAGTAAAAAGAATAAAAAAATAATATATATGTATTGTATTAAAAAACAGTTGCACAAGTGGGATAAGAGGATTCATATATTTTATTTATTTTTAAAAACGACTTAACATATTCTTTCACTTGAAACTTGAAGCAAACTCGCGGGCGCCTCCTCGGATTAACAAAAACCTATAATGCTTGCACTGCATAACCAACAAACCCGGCGTGAACAATTGCTATATCAAAAGTATTAGAAACCAGCAATCCAACTGAACATAAACAACATGAGCATAGGCTAGCCTCACATATGCATAATCGTATAGACGATAGTGAATAAAAATAGGTGACAAATCTACTTTTGCGATCACAAGACATCCATATTCACCAAAAAAACAACATAACACAATAGTACACATAGCTAGTACAATCTGGCGTGTATCAATGAGGATATACCTTGAATCCGTACAATAGTACATAAAGCATTGCTGGCCTCACTATGTGTCGAAGCTTTGGCTGTTAAAGCTGTTAGCAACATTACCAAACACACTCTGCTTTGTAGTAGTCTAACACATTCTACTTGACACACTTCAACACCGCTGTGCATCCTAGGCTGCACACATCAATTAAACACACATACACACAAGGGCGAGTGATTAGTGAACATCATCGGTCAGATAACACACAACATGGATTTCAGCTTCCACCTTATACTCACCCACACTGAGACACCCCAAGCCAAAATACTGTAGCTGCCCTCCCAGCCCCAGCCTGACACCAGAACAAACTCGCGCCCTGTCCCCAGCTGCTCCATTTCAACCAGCGATGACACTTGTGCAGTCCTCAGCGCACTATATAAAGTCGACGCACTTCCCATTTAACAAAAGCCTCAAATCCTTATCAAGGGCACTCAAATAGTTTCAGCAACTTTAATTCCAGAAATCACACGAGTAGGCTGTCATATTATATCCCCCGCTCGTACACAAAAAATACAGCATGCAACATTGGAACTATTCAAATATGCCTCGTTCGAAAGCCATTAGCAA